TACTGGTTACTCAAGATTCTTCTGTTAAACATGCATACGACACACAACAGAACCACACACACACACATTATTGTGGGAAACATTATGTAGTTTAGTACATTTGTATGTGAGAGCATACATCGCTGTTGTTGTTGTTGTGTTATTTTGTGATCTATGACAACCCTAAACCAAACTTATTACAAGGGTTTTTGGCAAGGTGTGTTCACAAACAACATGCCATTGCAATGTGACTTGCCCAACATCACCCAGTGGGTTTCCATAGCCAAGTGGGGATTTGAACCTTGTCTCTAGAACAATTATGCAGTGCTCAAACCACTACATCACACTGACTCTTGTGTGCATACATATGTATACATAAACTGAATATGGTGTTACACAGTGTCTAAAATAAAGTGCAAAAGGGACAGGAGAAGAGGAAAGAACAAACATTTAAGCATAACCTTTCCATGAATTTTGCTTAAATAAATCCGATAATCTTATATACTATATTTCTTCTTTCCTGTCCCTCCTTATTTTTTGTGCTGGAACTACTCTCTCTCTCTCTCTGAAACTGCTAAAGTAAGGTAGAAAGAGAGATAGACATTCTGCCTTGTTTTTGATATGCATACATTTAACACAATATTATTTAGATGTACACAAGTATTTATCTGTAAACGTTATGTAAACCTTACAAGATTTTGCACACACAGTGATGATTTGAACATATTACTAGGTCACAGAGTTAAACAGACCTATTAAACTTTAAAACAAAACAGGATTTGTGGTGTCACCAAGTCATGCATATTGTATATTTTTAATAACCACATTGCCTATGTGGAAATTAGATACACACTGAGCTGCTAAAATATTTATCTCTTGAGTAAAACCTAGTCATGGTCTTTGAAAAATTAATGTAATAGTGCTTGCCAATTGTTACTATCAGTAGAGAAATAGTAAACCCAAGAAATAACCCTTGACTCAACAAATGTTAAGAACTCCATGAAATTTTGCTAGGAGGTTGAAATATTATTACTTTCATATTCCTCTCTCTTCCATACTTCATCATATAATTCTGTGCCATGCTATTTATATTTCTACAGTAAAAGTTTAGGTCATTAAAATCTTTGAGAACTTTAACTTACTAAAATATGATACTGTTAACTGAAAAACAAAAATGTATAAGTGCATACATTGAAGCGTTCCAATTTGTGCCAAAAAGTGACTTTTTGAAAACAGTTATCTCTACAGATAAAAGTGGAACAATCAGAATTCTAGTTCCAGTTCTGTGTGTATTTTTGGGGGGAGGGGTCATTGAGACCACTGCTTTTTAAACTGTGAGTCCTGACCCCAATATTGGGGCTTAGCTCAATATTGGGGTCACAAAAAATTGAAAACAGCAAAAGTTTTCTGAATGTCACTTAGTGGCTATTTTAGACATTTATAAGAATGTTGTACAGTGCTTACAGTGGGCTCTGTAGAAGACACTTAAGTTATTTATATAAATAAAAATGTAATGTTCGTTTGTGGTATTCACAGAACTCAAAAACCCCTGAACGAATTGGCACCAAATTTGGCAGCAAAACACATTGTAATCTGATCTATGTCTTCCAAACAAAAAAATATTTTAAAAGGAAGGGGAAATAACTTTAATATCCCCTCCAAAAAAGTACCTAACTGAGCATGCGCAAGAGGCCCTTTCCCCAGCGCGTGAGAGAAGACTGAGGCACCAACCGTTGAAAGATTAAAGGGGCTGCCTTGCCATGGAGTCCCTCTCCAAGCAGGAAGGCAGACTCCTGAGGAAAGGAAAGAGGGAAAGAAGGAAGGAGAGACGGAGGAGGGCGTGGCGCCTTGGCGAGGCAAGCCCCATCAGCCACTGTAGAGGTTCCTAGAGGCCCAAATGGCCCCCAGGCAACCCCTCCCCCCAAACCGGAGGATTGAAAGGGAAGCCTGGCTGCAAGGGCAGCTGCACACACCCCTCCCCCACCACTAGGGACCGTTGGGTGAAGAGAGGATGCAAACCCCTTACAAACTACCACAGAAAGAAGGGAGGAAGGAAGGGAAAGAAAGGAGAGAAGACAGGAAGAAAAGGACTGGTGAAGAGAAGGATATGAATGGAAGGAAAGGTAAAAGGAAAGAAAGATGAATGAAAAGAAAGGAAAGGAGGCAGGGATGGGAGAGGGAAGGAGGGAAGGAAGGAAGGAAGAGAAAGGAGAGAGGAAGGAAGGGAGGAAGAAAGGAATTATTATTATTATTATTATTATTATTATTATTATTATTATTACGGAGAGTCTAAATGGCCATCTATCAGGAGTGTTTTGCTGGTTGGACTGGATGGCCCTTGAAGGTCTCCCTACTCTAGGATTCTATTACTATTATACTATTAATAATATTATTATTAAGTGGAGTCTCTACGGCCATCTGTTAGGAGTGTTTGGATTGTGTTTTTCCCTTATGGCAGAGGGAGGTTGGACTGGATGGCCCTTGGAGGTCTCTTACAACACTAGAATCCTATCACAGTGAATTCCTCCCAGATCCCTCCGGTATTTTCTGCTGGTCATGGAGGTTCTGAGTGCCAAGTTTGGTTCAGATCTGTCATTCATGGGAGTCTTCGTGGTCTGTGGAAGTCTGAGCTGAATCAGTTGAACGTACTCCAAATCCCATCATCCGTTGTTCATACTCCCCAAACTTATTGTTTTTGTGATTAATCAGTATGCTTTAATTATGTTCAATTTATAACAACAGAAATACAATGTATTGTCGAAGACTTTCAACATAAATACATCTTGCATATCAGATATTTACATGATGATTCAGAACAGGAGCAAAATTACAGTTATGAAGGAGCTATGAAAATAGTTTTATGGTTGGGGGTCATCACAACATGAGGAACTGCATTAAGGGGTTGTGGCATTATAAAAGTATAGAAACACTGCTAAAGACATTCTATAAAAATAAATAAAATACTGCCTGTGTTTTTATGATTAACATAAATCAAAAACCACTGGACGAATAGGCACCAAATTTGGACAAAATACATATATCAGGCCAGCAACAAGTGACCATCACTCATAAAAACACTGAAAAGCACAGAAGAGACTAAAAAAGCAAAAAAAAATTACAATGCATGCACAAAACAACATATTTACACATATACACACATATATACATATATACACACACAAAATACATATACACAGACTGGGCCACAGCAACGCGTGGCAGGGGACAGCTAGTACTTCACAAAAAGCAAAATCTGTATGTTTAGCAGTCTTGCAAATGTGATCTGTTATCAGTAAATGCTTGATTGTTATACCTATATGTGTGTGTGTGTGTGTGTCTATACACCTAGGTTCATGTAAAAATGTATCATGCCAAAAGGGGTCCCAAGAGGAAAAGTTTATGAAGCCTTGATTTAGACAACAAGATGAAGATGCAAATAATGATTACAAAAAACATCTACAAATGTAATCCATTTTTATTATGAATTTTCATTCTTTCCAGAGGAACTGGTAGCTGTAAAGCCAGTGAAAGTTAAATCTTTGGAAGATGTTATTTTACTTCACCTAGAAAGCACAGTGTCCTTGACAAGCATAAACTACAGACAGATTAGGAGTTATATCTAATGGTATCCTTCTACTGATGAACTCTTTGAATTAGCAAAAACAAATCCAGCAAAACAGAGAAGGCAACTCTGTGTCTGGGGCAGAGGGAGGGAGGGAGGAGGAGGTTGGAATCGAGACCTCACCTCTGAGGATGCTTGCCATAGATGCAGGCGAAACGTCAGGAGAAATGCCTCTAGAACATGGCCATATAGCCCGAAAAAACCCACAAGAACTTAGAGAAGGCAACATTTTTACTTTCCCCATCCAGTGGGTCCCTGCATGTTTTCATCTGTTTCCACAAATTTCTGGAACTCTTTGAAACATCATGAGAAATGATATGGATAGCTGTAGGAACAGAAGTAACTATTCTGCTGATGGAAATGTCTGCTTGATAAAAAAAAAAAAAGCTCTATGGAAAAGAACACCATCAGCTACAATCCTGATAAATTGAAGATTAACACATTTATCTACCACAAAAAAATGGCAAAATTAAAATTTATGGATACAATTCATCTGAAGTTAAATGACTAATGCACAGATATTTTTTTTCCTGACAAAAACATCTAGCATTTACATAACTCAATGTAATGTCTAGTCTTAGCAGACATGCCTATCTACTCTGTCAGTGAAAATCTTGAACAGTAAAAACAAAACAAAACATTTGTTCAATTAGGGATACAGGAGGGGAATGGCTGCTATGTATTCCTTTTTCATTTATACCAGCTGTACCAGTATGAATTTGTCTTTCAGTTATTATCATGCTTGGACTCATCCATGTAATGAACTTAAAAAGACAGCTGCATGTGCTTTCTAGTACTGACAAATATAAGAACAGTATAATATTTAATGCAGTTAATGGTCATGTAATCTTTCTAGATTGAAAGATATTAAAATTTATCCAAAATATTCATTTCTTGTAAGTAAAAGCTTAGCAACATATGTCCACAATCTATTATTTTATATTTTGCTGCCATATCACCAAAAGAAGCACTGGGTACTCTTGCACCAGAGTTGAGATCAATACATCTTTAGTATAAATGTTCCACCACTATATTATTAAGCAATAGAAGTTATATGGCCATGAAAAAAAAACCATCTACTGATGACTTATTACAAAATGAATTTTAAAAGAAAACAATACAGACAGATTACATAATAAGGCAAAAGTGGACATCTGCCTAACTATAATTCAAATCATCACAGTTCAGATTATGGTATTTTAAAACATATTATGAAAATGTTTTGCATATTAAATTATGTTAATGGAGAACAAAAATATATCCTTTCATATGGGAAGAAACTGCACATTTCTTTTGCAACAAATAAACGTATCAGGTACAAATGTTATCTTTCTGGAAACTCACAAAGCAATAAGAAATCGTTTTAAACAAACTTGAAAGAACACCACACAAATGAGCTACACACATCTCTTTAATTTGCAATATGCTGTTCATAATCAAAATATGTTGGCCGTAACTAGTAGTAGGCTCTTACAAATATTTTAACATCATAAAGCTTACACTTCTCCTGAGAATGTGCAAATGTATGCCACACATATATGTGAACTGATTATATTAAATAGAAAATAAGTATTCCAAATTAAGCATTCATGTATATATAATCGTGTTTTAAAATTCAAAATACTGAAATGCAAACTTTAAAAGTTACGGAAAAAATACACACATATAAAATATCACATTGTTAAAGTAATTATCAATGACTAAATGACTTTAATTTGAATATACACAATAATCTGTTGCTTCAAGTCATTCATGAAAATAATGAAATACGTATTTATTATGACAGAACATTAACTAATACTAATAATATTTAGACTGAAATATTATAGTATCACATACTTTTTCAATATTGTAAACTGCACAACAATAAAAGGAAAATATTTGTAGAATTGTAGGTAGTAATGCAATAGATGGCTACCAAAAACTAGAATTTCATCGAACTAGGTATAGGAGAAAGTAGGGTGGGGAAGTTATCTCAAAAGAATGATGGCAGTAATAAAATAAATCACTGCAAGGTCAGAAAGAAACCTCACCTGTCCCCAAAGAGCTTACAATCGAACTATGTGGACATGAGCAAAGATGACACAGGAGCAATAATAATTTACTTATTTATTGCTGCTGAATAGATTAGCAAGAGATCGCATTGCATAAACCTAGTATTTTATAGATTTTGTTTTACTTTAAAGAGGTGTGTGTGTGTGTGTGTGTGATGAATTTATAAGATGTATAGATATATTCACTGCACAATTACACAAAAGTATGTAATTTTAGAATTTCGGGTTGATGCTACATTCCTCAAGCTATTTTCCAAAGTATACAGTATACTTTTTAGTAAGATTGTGCTAGCATATATATATATATATATATATATATATATATATATATATATATCAACCTTCCTGTTACATTTCTGAATAAATTTGAAATTTCTGTCTGTCCACAATTTAATATGAATTACACACAACTAAAAAGTTCCATTTAATGAGAATCCTGTTTGTATAAATACACGATGGAATTTATAACCAAAAACCTAGAGAGTTCTTGGTCAATTTACAAAATTTTAGATGATAATCAGATTTTATGGCACTAATGATACTGAGCAGAAATGGAGTACAAACTGATCAGTTACCACAGCATGAGCCAGTTCTTACACAAAATGCAGAAACTAGACTTCACACTGCCAAAAATCCAGTATCAGTGTTAGACTGCAGTTGAATGAGAGGCACATGTACAAATTTGTTGAAAAAATAAAATAATATCATGACACAATTTGGGGATAGGAAGTAGTACAGGTCAAAAGACTCCCATGTCATTTTATGGTTAACCTGTCTTAATGCAGTAAAAGACAAATCTGGTCTAAATAAATTCCTAAGTTAGCAATCTTATAAAACAAACTGTGACTGGAGAAGCCAGAATAAACACCAGGAGAAGAAAAAAACGCCAGAAGAAAAGGAAGTTTTACACATAACATCTGAATTGATGTTATATATTTTCTTATATATATTTTTAGATTATACAACTTTGCTATGACTGCAAGTCTAAGATGTGGTTCAACTGTGTACAACCAAGAAATCTTCATGAAGTGTATTATGAAATTCATGATTTCATTTAATGTAGCAACTTTAAAGTGGACACTGCACCTATATGATTCATATTTTTCAAATATCCCGAACTGTATCTAAAAGTGCACAGTGTTTAATTATAAATTACAGAAATGTGATCATTAAAATATTTTCTTTTAGATCATCTAGTTGACTCTTAGGTAACAACAATTTATAAAGTAACTACAAAGAATTATCACTGATCTTGATTCAGCAGCGGTTTTCAGTAATGATTAAAAATAAAACTTTTTTTAAAATGTAGGGTTGAGAGTTCTTTCAACGTCCCAGAAAACGTAGGGGTAGTTGGCAGGTTCACGTCAGCTCCAATGTGCTCCTGAAAAATATAAAATACCAGTGTCCACTGGATCAGTGGGTCCTTGGCATGTTGGAACTATTCATGAAAAGGTTTTGGTGATGATATCAAAGTACAAAATGAAGAAACTTGTTCAAAGCTGAGAACTTTCTCAGTTGTAGTAAACTGGTAATTTACAATCCTGAAATATGTTATAAAACTGCTATATGATTATTCAAAACTATTGTATTAACATGCCCATATACAGGCAGAAAACAGAAGATGATAACGCCAAAAGAAACGGTTAACAAGTGAAACAATGTATCTCTAATTTTCTTAGTTTTTGTATGTATATTAAAGTTAAAAGCTGTAGCAATTTTATTGGTGTCAGTTTAGTGAAAATGACAATGGAGTCTTGTATAAATTCACAGCAGTTTTAAAAATGTGGAAAATAAGATCATGTGACAATGTAAAGTAGAACTGCCACAATAATTCTGGTGCTCTTAAAGTACAAGGGGTTGGTTTAAGATATGCGTGTGCAATAGCAAACTACCACGTCAACTCACACAAAGTATTTTTCCAGGCTAATGTGACAAAAAAACCTGACTCTACTAAGCAATTAACATGTGCAATAAACATAGAGTCATCAAATAATAAACATGTCAGCACTTATTATTACTACTACTAGCATTGCTATTTATTTGTATCCTGATTTTCTTCTCTGCTTAGGACTCAAAACTGCTTTTACACAAAAATTAAAAAAGCAATTAAACTGTCAATAAAATTAAAACCAGTTTAAAATGTAACAATTAAAAAGAAAACAGACAATACTGCACATTGTGAAAGGCCCATTCCCTGTGACCAATCAGTCTTCAAAATACATAGAATGGGGAATGTCCTGAGTTTTACTCCTGGCTTTTGATTTAAAAGAAAAAATTATGAGTTTCAGAATGGGTGCATCTATACTTTACAACAGTTTTGGGTTCTTTGGAATCCAAGTATTGGGAGGAGAGAGATAAGCATGCATTCATTGCAAAAACAAACAAACAACAAAAACAAAAAAGTAACAACAACAACAACACACACAGAACTTGCAAAGGTGCAGGTTTGGTGTGAGCAGTGTGAGCATCATAAAAAATTCTATTCTTATATGGGACTTAATCAACAAGTTTGCTCAAGAGTAAAATACCCAACTGAAACAAAATGCTAAAGCGCACCTAAATGTAATCACAAGGTGTGTTTTGTGGTTTCTTGTGAAATATTTCCCAATGTTCATAGGTTCCTGTGTATCAACAAAACACTACATACAGATTTTTAGATACAGTTGTGTATACAATGCCTTCTTGATTTCCATGTAAATGCACACCTAATAATACAGGTGTGGTAGAAAAAACAGACCAAGTAATGGAAACTATGGAAACAGTACTTTAAAAACAATAACTGGATGTATTGTTGTTATATTGATGTTCTGATGTATTGTTATATTGATTTAGTTGCTTTAGTTACTGTTTTTTAAATGCTAATGCTAATGTTGTGCACTTTGCATATTGACCTGGTTGTAAACCGCACTGAGTCGCCTACGGGCTGAGAGAGTGCGGTATACAAATAAAGTAAATAAATAAATAAATAAATAAATAAATAAATAATAATAATAATAATAATAACTGAGAAAAATAAAAGCAAAGCATTTCAGTTTTAAAAAAAAATTAAAGTTACTGACCACACACTTGCCACCTCAAATAGCTTTGGCTCCAACTCACTATCAAATATTACATCAAGCTTATGCATGGCTTTTTAGCTGTACATATCTGAAACACAGCAGAACTGGAATAAAAATGGGGAAAAAAACCAATTTTACTTTAACTGTCCAAATCTCATACTGCTTGCTTTAAAAACAAAGCAAAATACTGCATATGATATGACATACCGCTCAATAAGGCTCCAAAAGCAACCAAATCATCAGAATTGGAAAGAATATGGGAAAAGGGAAACAAAGGGTTTACACAAATACTGTACATATTAAGTTAAAATATGGAGGACAACAGAGTCAAGACAGTAATTATATCCTGGGCCAAGAACCTAGATAGATCAATAGAATTAGATAACTGGGAATACCTATGGAAGAAAGAATTCAAGGTTATGCTATCTGAATCAATAAGGGAGACTCGATATTGATAAAATAAATAGATGCTATATCACCTCAGCAACATTTGCAAAAATAGATAAATTGCTGGAGATGTAGGAAACAGAAAGGGATATTCTTCCATGTGTGGTGGAGTTGTGAGACCATACAGGCATTTTGGGATAAGGGAACTAAGGAGACAAATAAAATGCTACATAATAAGATAAAAAAAAAGCCCAGGATTGTGTCTATTAGGTTTACATAGAGAAAACAATAATAAAAGGACCTAGAAATATACCAATACAGCTTTACCTCAGCAAGATTAACCATAGCCAAAGATTGGAAAGGGGAAAAAGGGTTAACTAAAAAGGACTGGAGGGAAAGAATGAGGGAATATATGCTAATGGCCAAACTAACCAATAATAGGAGGAACAAAAATAAAGAGGACTTTCTGGAAAAACTGAAATTGGCCATGGCATATCTGAATGGGGAATCAGTCATGTAGAGTAGCTCCATTAGGAATATAGGAGTACTACGAACAAGGATAGATAAATTGGTTTAAAGGCTTCATAGTGCTTCAGCATCAGAAGACATGGTGAAGGGGTACATGGGTATGGGGAAGAGGTTTTATTTTGTGTGGGATAGGGGTTTTGGTCTATAACATGTTGTGTGTTGTTGTTTGAATGTTATGATGAACTTTTATATTTTAAAAAATTAAATAAGAAGAAAGTATAGACGGAAAATAGTGGATAAAATGTAGAAATAGCAAGACTAAATTATTTATGTTAAATTATGGATAATATGCATTGAATGTCAGAAATAACTAGTTGACTGGCTAAGGTAGACAGGCATGTATATATCAAAATTATTGTTGCTTGATTATATCTGCCATTATCTGTTATTCTGTTATTTATCATAATTATAATAAATAGTTTTTTAAAGAAAAAAGAAAAAAAAAGTCTCCAAAGGCCAAAGGAATATGAACTTCTGAAAAAAAAAAAAAAAGCAAGAGCTAGAATCATATCTGAAAGGAGCTGGGTGAAAACTAATACAGTAATGCTATACAACTCTATGTTATTGCTGGGCAAGACATCCTTCATTTCAATAGTTTGCTATTATCGGTGTTCCTGTGTATCCACGGCAAGTAGGTGAATGTATACGGAGAGGGGACATTTGGATAACACAACACTCCATGGAGCAAAGCTACTTGAGCTTCTTAGGACAATTCCCACAGGTGCTATCAAAGGGAGCACATACTTTAGAATAAGCCAAGATCTCTAGTTTACCATGTCATGCAAGCATAGCCAATGGATTGAGATTTGGTGTATCTTCTGAATTTGGCAGATTTCTTGCCACAGAAGATATTCTGGTACAATGAAGGCTTACATCAGAAGAAGTAAGGGGAGATAGTTTTCTTTCTCATTTGCAGCATCCTGTTCTGCTTCAAATATACTGTTGAATCAGAAGAACCGTATGTACAATTGAAATAAATGGTAGAACTCAAATAGTTGGGGAGTATGTAAAAAGAGTAACACCTAGACATATGCAATTCCTCCGAAGCTAACTTTATACTGAAATATTTTTTTTCCTGTAAAAACAGCAAGAACACATATCTGTTTAAAGCCAATCCGCAGTTTGGAAAAAAAGCTGCCTTCTCATTTTCACAAACTCAACCTACATTCAAAAAGCCTCATGCTGGCTTATCCCTTTTCCTGTCTCGCTAAATAAATGACATATTGTATTGTCGAAGGCTTTCATGGCTGGAATCACTAGGTTCTTGTGGGTTTTTTCGGGCTATAGAGCCATGTTCTAGAGGCTCTAGAACATGGCTCTATAGCCCGAAAAAACCCACAAGAACCTAAATGACATATTGCTTGCCCCTTTCCTTCCTTCCTGACTGCCACATTATTTCAGCAGTAATTAAAAGTGTATTGAAGTATATAGTTTTTCCAAGAGCTATAGGCATGGAGCCCTATTAAACAACAGGCTGGGAAGAAGAGGAGGGAAGAAATAGAAGACTATATGTGTGCCTCTGGTGCAACTCCCACTGCTATAAGCTGTCGGAGTTCTTGAAAACTAAGAAGGATTCTTGCAGGGGGAAGGTGAGTGACAAAGTTACTTTTGGAGGGGGCAAATGGGAATTGAAAGAAAACGGAATCCTTCTCTGAATCCAATCTGACAAAATGTCAAGATCAATCACTGTGCCAAAATTAAACCTGAAGAACATCCTCACAAAATTAGAGATAATGTAAACAATGTTGTTGTTCATTCGTTCAGTCATCTCCGACTCTTCGTGACCTCATGGACCAGCCCACGCCAGAGCTCCCTGTCGGCCGTCACCACCCCCAGCTCCTTCAAGGTCAGTCCAGTCACTTCAAGGATGCCATCCATCCATCTTGCCCTTGTTCGGCCCCTCTTCCTTTTGCCTTCCACTTTCCCCAGCATAATTGTCTTCTCTAGGCTTTGCTGTCTCCTCATGATGTGGCCAAAGTACTTCAACTTTGTCTCTAGTATCCTTCCCTCCAATGAGCAGTCGGGCTTTATTTCCTGGAGGATGGACTGGTTGGATCTTCTCGCAGTCCACGGCACTCTCAGAACTTTCCTCCAACACCACAGTTCAAAAGCATCTATCTCCCTTCGCTCAGCCTTCCCTAAGGTCCAGCTCTCACATCCGTAGGTTACTACAGGGAATACCATGGCTTTATACAATAGTTTGTACTAATACCTCTTACTGAGTGGGAGTGAGAAGAACTACAAACTGAAATTAGGGAGTTTGTAGGTTGTGATTCTTCATCAGCTTTCCTATGCGGTCAGTGGGTCCTTGATGTATGGTAAGAACACTTTTTCTCTGGGTGGACCTTTGTCTTACTCTTGTACCTTAAACCTAAACTGGGCTCTAGACCAATGGATACTCCATCACTGACCTCATGGGGAAACTGATGAAAAAATACAACCTATAAACTATCTACAGACCCACTAAAATCCAACAAATGATATCAGGGACATTGGGAAGGAAGAGCACAAGAAGACACTATCTGCAGCCAAAAACAAAGAGAAACTCGCTGGGAAATTCAAACCAAGGATAGATAAGCTGTACATCCAGCAGGGGAATATATTTCATGAAAAAGAACAAATAAAAAGATGTTGGAAATAATACATTGAAGAACTATAGAAAAGAGATGAAAAGATGACAAGATTCAAAGAAGAATTATTTGAAGAACTATAGAAAAGAGATGAAAAAGATAGCAAGATTCAGTCAAGGAAGAATCTATTTGACCATTTAAAAAAATGAAATCAACCATTTTTTTAAAAATGAAAGGAAGCAGCACTCAAAGCACTTGAGAGAAATAAATCACCAGAATCAGATGGCATACCAATACAGCTGCTTCAAGTAACAGAGATTGAAGTAGCTCAAATTCTTACTAAAATCTGTCAGCAAACACAAAAAAACAGAACAATGACTAGAAGCAAGCAATATATACTCCACTTTCCAAGAAAGGGGACAGAATGAATTGCAGTGATTAAGAGACTATTGTTTTAATCTCCAATGCAAAAAAAAATGTTCAAAGTTCTACATCAAAACACTTTAAATATATCTGGAACAAGAAATGCTGAATATCTAAGCTGGGTTCAGGAGAGAAAACGGTACAAGGGATCATACTAGAAACATAAATTGGATAGTGGATACTTCATAAGATTACAGCAAAACTTTTGATTGTGCAGATCATGAAAAGAACTATTTATCACTCTTTAAAAAAATGTACCAGAACATTTGATTATCCTAATGCACAACCTGTAAAGACAAGAGATGATCATCAGAAGAAACAGAAGTTTTCAGTTCAGGCTCCATGTTATCATAATATTTATCTTGAATGCTAAATTTCTTATGCACAAAAATGGATTAGACTCCGAGGAAGGAGGTATGAAAATTAGGTAACATAAATCATTTTAATATATGCAGATGACGCCATGCTACTAGCAGAAAATAGTGAATACTTGGAATAACTATTGAAGAACATCAAGGATGAACGTGCAAATGCAGGTTTACAGTTGAATGTTAAGTAAAAAGTAAAAAGAAAAAAGAAATGTGTGAATACTTTTGCAATGCACTGTATATAATGTATGGAACCACACTAACAATACAGTATATTTTAAATAAAAACGTCAATGGTTCTTCAATTACGGTTTAGAATCAGGGTTAGTGAACACTCCATAGTCGTCTTCTAATTTCGATGATAGACTAATGTTCAAATCTTGAAGAAGATCTATGAGTTTCTTGCATCTGACTCTACAAAAAGATTATGTACATTAGCTTTTTAAAGACTCGACAAAATAAAATTATATTTTATTTTATCATCTGCCAACTACCTACTTAATCAGTTCTGTATTTATTGCTCTAGAAATTATATTTATGAATTAATTTTGACCAATCTTGATACTTAGACTAAGGTTGATATCCTAAATATTTTTGTGAAAGTGCAAGACCAATCAGCAGAGTTCAACTTTGAGGAGGTAGCTGTTTGCACACACAGACACTCACATTCTTTTAACAAAATGTGAAACAAGTGTTCCAGACTATAAGTGCTACCCATCAAACTTTAGTTCAATCCAAATCATAAGCAGGTTACATTTCAAAATACATTATTGGGCAATTGGGGTAGTACAATACTTTCCCTTCAGAGATTTTGTCAACAAATGTA